CAGCACAATGGGAGGGACTCCATCGGGCCCACTCGACTTGCTGACGTCCAGGGAGAAGAGTGCTTTGCGAACCGAGCGCTGTGTAAATCGCACATCCGGCATGGAGCACTCACATCGCGGGATGGTCGGCGGTGTGTTCCCCCCGTCATCTAGAGTCGAGTTGGACGCAAAAAGAGAGCACAACAGATCGGCTTTCTCTTTTGCGGCATGGGCCAGTGAGTCGTCCTCTCTGTGCAGAGATGGGAGGGATGGCTGACAGAAGTTCCCTTGGACAGCCTTGGCGAGAGACCAGAATGCACGGGTTCCCGAAGGAAGGCGAACTAGCTTCTCGCCAATTCTGCCGATGTGCTCAGACCTTGCCTTGGCAATGACGCTTTTGAAGGACCTGGAGGCGGAATTATACTTCTTTTTAAGTGCGCTGGTGTTTAAATCCCGAGACGTTGATGCGTCAGCCCAGGCCCGGTAGCACTCCTGCTTATAGCGTGATGCTATTTTACAGGAGCGACCAAACCATGGCTGGGATCTGCCTCCGATGGGCACCACAGAGGATGGAACAAAAAGTTCCATACCCTGAAGTACCACATCAGCAACAGAATCGGCAACAACGCTGGGATCTTCCGGCGAGAAGCAAACCCGCCCCCAAGGGTAGGATGCAAAAAACGACCGCATCCCGTCCCAATCAGCTGACCTATAGTGCCAAACACGGCGGCAAGCTGTAGATCGCAACTGCGATTGGAGCGTGAGTGGCACTGTGCTCCGGATCAGACAATGGTCCGAAGAGCCCAGAGGGGCATCGACGGAGACCTGATATCCGTCCGGATGAGAGGTCAGCAGAAGGTCCAACAGGGAAGGTACATGGTCTTCCACATCTGGGATCCGCGTAGGCGAAGTAACCAGTTGTGTTAGACCATATGCCAAAGCAAAGTCGTAGACAGATCTACCCGCATGATCGGTTGAACGAGAACCAAGCCATTCAGCGTGGTGGGCGTTGAAATCACCGAGTATCACGATCTCTGCGGATGGGACCTGTTGTAGCACGGAGTCTGCAGCCATTTGGACGTGGTCGATGAGTCGGTCTGTGTCGGCATTACCGCTATGGGACCTATAGAGGCACCCGTAGACGCGGGGATGGTCGTCGCTGTCTACGCGCAGCCATAGGATGGACAGGTCCGTACCTTCAAGGCTGCCGAGGCGTCGAAAACAGATGTCCTCTCTGACGTATACACAAACTCCAGCCCGGGGCACAAAGGAGTGTTCCAATTTGTACCCCGGGTAGGAGAGATATGAAGTATCAGCCGGAGAGGACACCTGAGTCTCGGTTAAAAAGAGCAAGGCCGGCTTCGCCGTCTCTAGATGGTAATGGACAGCGTTAAGGTTGGAATGAAGTCCCCTGATGTTGCAAAAATTCACGGATAGCGTGACAGGGGTCGCCTTGGTTGTATTGCTCCGCTTGCCCCGAGCAGCATTAGTCACGAGCGGAATTTTGCCCCCCCCAGAATACGCGGGGCAGCCTGAGCACCCACGCTCAGGAGTGAAGTAGTTTGTTCGTGGATGCTCAGCGAGGGATTCTCCAGGGTTGCTGGTACCCTCCTGGGGTAGTCTTGTATTTAATTCCACTACCATGTTGATGGGGGGGGGGGGGGGAATTGGGCCTCCGGCCACCTGCACTCACCAAACGCAACGCAGAGGTAAACCTCTACTTCACGCTGGTATTCTGTGAGGTCGTGGTACCACCCCGGTTCGAGCTGGCCCATCCGTGCGACAGCAAAAGCTACCGCTTGGCTCTACCACTGTTAAATTTCAGAGGTATCAGCAGCAGTATACGGTATGTCATAAGATGGTAAGCCATAAGATAAATCGTTTGCCCGATCGTGCGAGGTATGTCATCGATGTCCATCCTCGACAACAGCCACAGAAGGTCAGTAATATTTTGTTTACAACATATAATATTTATAAAAATCTGTATTAAAAAGTGTTAAGGGTTAATGGACAAAAACTTATTGCATACATAGATACAGGAAGTAAATTGAATATTCATAGTGTGACACCAGCTAGTAGTTTGATGTTAGAAGTTGTGCTTTCTTCAATAAATATGAAAGGTTTTGTAGCTGCATATTTGAAATCATTGGGAACATTGCGGATCGATGTCAAGATAGATGACATTATTATAAGTGGTTACGTTGTTAACTAATATTGACTTAGCTGATAATATAGACTTAATTATCGGTCAAACAATGATAAATCGGAGAAATTTGTGCTCAGTTATTACTGAGAACTCTGTCAATTTTGTAAAAAACATTGAGCAGAAATGTGAACTATGTATATACAGTTTAAGTAAGATAGATATCATTACTAAATTACCAATATACTTAAAGACTGTACTGTAATACCGCAACAATGTGTGGCATTTGTAAAAGTTTTATTGATATAAGTGATAGTGATTGTACTTTGCGAACTAATCCTGTATATTATGAGTTAGGAAGTATGTCTTGTATTATTATAGGTGATCTTATAAGGTAGAAAAATTGCCATTTTAAAGTTATAAACATAGGAGACGATATTATTGAGTGTGACTCAAATAGGCTCATAGCACGCGCTAAACTTTTTAGTGACATGGCGTATAGTAAGGAGAGGGAAGTAATGACAATTAACCATCCTTTCCATAATAAGTTATTATTATCAAACCTAGATGTAGGTGATTTGGACACAGATCAATACAATAAATTACTAGAATTATTAAATAAATTTGAATTCATGTTCGCCAGAATTACAAAAGATTTAGTTTGTACCGACGTGTTATAAATGTGTATTCATACTACAACCGAGCAACCAGTTTACCGCAAGCCCTTCTACCAAAGAGAACGAAATAGTTAATGAAAAGGTTCAAGACATAATTGCTGCAGGCATTGTAAGGGTGTCCATGCCTGACTACACAAACCCAGTGGTCTTTGTTAAGAAAAAAGGAGGTGACTATAGGTTATGCATATATTATAGATCACTAATCTCGCGTACTGTTAAGGATCGATACCGACTACCTTATAATATAGAAGACCAGGTTACTCATTTATCTGGAAAATCATTGTCTACCACACTAGTCTTGCACATGGCTATTACCTAGTAAGGATCTTTGATGGTTCTATTCATAAGACTGCAATTGTTACACCTTCTGGTCAGTATGAATTTCTGAAAATGCCTTTTGGCCTAGGTAATGCTCCAGCAGCTTTTTACAATTTTACTCGATGCAAAATATCTTGATGACGTAATGTTGCCAATATTATCGCTTCATGATTGGTTAAAGTTACTAGAAAGCGTCTAACAACTATTGTCAAAAGCTAATCTAAAACTAAATTTAAGTAAATTTTCATTCCTAAAGAAAGGCGCTAACTATTTAGGGCATGAGATTACTGCATGCACAGTACGACCGGTACAGGTTAAATACGTTTTGTAGCTAATTATAAAAAACCACGAAATGTACATGAGATCCGACAATTTATCGGTTTGACTTCATACTTAAGGATATTCATTCTTAGATTTGCAGAAATAGCCAAACCCTTCTCACAACTTACTAAAAAGAACGTAAAATGGAAATGGGGCCCGGACCAAGAAACTGTTTTTTAAAAAATTTTTAAATAACGTCTAGTGAAAAGACCGGTTTTAGGGATATATGGCATGCAAGTACCGAGCTCCATACAGACGCAAGTGAACTAGGGTTAGGTGGTATCCTTTTGCAATATCAAACCAATGCTAGCCTGGAACCAATTGCCTATTTAAGTAGGGACACGTCTAAGGAAGAATAGTTTTATCATAGCTATGAACTAGAGACATTAGCCTTTGTATAATCTTTAAAGAGTTTTCAAATCTACCTCGTAGAAATTTTCTTAACTTTAGTTGTTTTTTTATTTTTATAAGAGAGGGTGCTAACGAGTATACGGCTTACCTGATGGTAAGTGACTACCGCCACCCATGAACAACTGCAACACCAAGGTAATTGCAGGTGCATTGCTGGCCTTTTAAAGAGAAATAAGTTCTTTTCTTGAAGGTCGTTCTTGAAGTCGTATCAGACCGGAAAAATCGCCGGTGGTACTGTACGTTTCACTATGAGTTTTCTTCCGCATGTACAAATGTGACCTCTCTGTAGAATAGCTTACCAGCGGCGATTTTTCCGGTCTGATACGACTTCAAGAACGACCTTCAAGAAAAGAACTTATTTCTCTTTAAAAGGCCACCAATGCACCTGCAATTACCTTGGTGTTGCAGTTGTTCATGGGTGGCGGTAGTCACTTACCATCAGGTGAGCCGTATACTCGTTAGCACCCTCTCTTATAAAAATAAAAAACAACAAAAGTTATGAAAATTTCTACGAGGTAGATTTGAAAACTCTTTAAAGATTCTACAAAGGCTAATGTCTCTAGTTCATAGCTATGATGAAACTGTTCCTCCTTAGACGTGTCCCTACTTAAATAGGCAATTGGTTCCAGGCTAGCATTGGCTTGATATTGCAAAAGGATACCACCTAACCCTAGTTCACTTGCGTCTGTATGGAGCTCGGTACTTGCATGCCATATATCCCTAAAACCGGTCTTTTCACTAGACGTTATTTAAAAAATTTTTGAAAACCAGTTTCTTGGTCTGGGCCCCATTTCCATTTTACGTTCTTTTTAGTAAGTTGTGAGAAGGGTTTGGCTATTTCTGCAAATCTAAGAATGAATATCCTTAAGTATGAAGTCAAACCGATAAATTGTCGGATCTCATGTACATTTCGTGGTTTTTTATAATTAGCTACACAACGTATTTGTTATGTTCGCGGATACGGAGCGCAGGGGACTAGTTAAACACTCAACGGCTGTCGATGTACTGCTTTAATTGCAAACATTATTATTGGGTGCGGACGCAGCCGCGCACAGGTATAATACACAACATTCCTCCCCCTATAGTGAGGGTTTTATAATATGTAATACCTTATATAAAAAAACTAACATATTAAATATATTTAAAACATACTAAAAAAACTTTTTATAGTCAACCTTAGGGCGATTTCGTTTTAATGGCGCTTGATACTCTTGTGCCCGTGATACCTCTTCTTCATCATCCGACGACTTTGGACGCCGAACTCCTTGCGTTACTGTTATATGTGAGGGTGATCGTGATTGGCGGCAAGAGTCATTAGAATTCGTCAAGTTCTCATTAGAAGTCTCAGCTGCAGGCACAGGTGTTAATATTCTGTCCTCGTGTCCATCCCCCTCTCCCAGCTCGCGAACTTGGTCATGACATTGCAAATCTGGCGGTAATATAGGTACGCATGACGCCGGTGTCGATACTGAACTACCTGGGGTATCAGGGCTGAGAATATCTAGCTCCCAAGGTCTAGTTGCATTAATAGTGCCTTTATATAAAATTATTTGATTTACATTTTTTTTACAACAGTATTTAACAAAGAGTCTCGTATTAAGTATATGATTTTACCAAGTTTTTGTATAATTACGCCTTTGCACCAATTGAACTTATTTTTATTCGAATATTTTTTATATAAAAAATATTGTCCGGGTAAAAACATTTTTTCTTTCCCACCATGCGACTTAACCTGTGAACACTGTTTTGATCGGACTGTTTTAGCGAGTGAGGAAGACAGGGGCGGCGATGGTGCTGGCTTTAATATATATAACCTCGATCTCAATTTACGACCAAAAACTATTTGCGCGGGAGATAAGCCCGTCGTGGAATGGACCGAATTAAATAAAATAGATGATGCGTTTGGAACAAAACACCTGTAATAATTGACGAGGCCTAAAAACGATTGTAATTGGTTAACATTTGTGGGGATTGGCGCTTCTAATATAGATTTAACCTTTTCCGGTGACTTCTTTAAACCGTTTCTATTTATGACGTATCCCAGGTAACTTATTTCGTCTTTAAAAAAACTGCACTTATTTTTTTGCAACGTTAAGCCCGCGTCTTGTAATTTTTGTAGCACCTGGTGTAGCCTGTCTAGGTGCTCGGCATCGTCTTTGCCGGTTATCAGAATATCATCCAGTAAAAAATGTACTCCATTTAATCCTGCTAGTACATATTCCATTGCACGCTGGAAAATAGCCGGCGCACTAGCTAAGCCGAAAACTAAACGTGTATAAGAAAATAAACCCCGATGGGTATTGATACAGGTTAGCTTTTGAGATTCTTCATTTAGGCAAAATTGATTATACGCCATTGAGAGGTCAAGCTTAGTAAAGTATTGGCCCCCATGTAACTTAGAAAAAAGTTCATTAACCGTCGGCAATGGATATTGGTCTATAACTAACTGATTGTTTAAGCTAACAGAATAATCTGCACATATTCTGACAGAGCCATCGCGTTTTAATACGGGTACGATTGGGGATGCGTATTCAGAATAACTAACCGGACGAAGTACCCCTAGATCGACCAACCTCTTTAGTTCGCTATCTATTTTATCCCTCAAGGCGAAAGCAATAGGACGCGCCTTAAAAAACAATGGATTAACGTTCTCTTTCAAGGTTAACTTAATTTCATATTTACTGAAACACCCAAGTTCTCCCGAAAATACCTGAGGATAACGTATGTGTAGCGTTTCAATTTCATTCTGTATTTGCTTACAATAATGTATTGGCGTCAGTTGAAGTTCGAAACGTGCAATAAAATCCCTATCGAGCAGTGGCGGGCCGCCATTACGAACTACATAAACGTCCAGCATACACGTTTTGCCCCGCCACTGAAGCGACATCTGTACACGGCCGGCACAACCTAAAACTTCACCGGTATAACTCACTAATTTATTTTTAGTGAACGATAATGGTACATCGTGGAAATGCAATTTATATGTTCTTTCCGATATCAAAGTCACCGCCGATCCGCTATCGATTTGAAATTCTAAATCTATGCCATTGACAGTAACGGTTTCTACTAAAGGCTCGCTCCTAACTGATCGTATATTAAATATCTTACCGTCATCGCTGTCCTCGCCCACCTCACTCGTATTTACGTAATTCACCTTTTTGCACATTCTACGCAAGTGTCCTTTCATATTACACTTTTTACATCTGTAATTAGCGAAACGACACTCCGACGCACTGTTATTCGTATAACCGCATACCGCGCACTTTTGACGAGAACGCGCGCACTTCGAATCCTGACCAATTTTGTATAGCTGGTCCGTGGTGGCATCGGTGACGACGGTAGTGGTGGCAGCGGCGCTGGCGGCAATCGCCCGCGCGCTTCGTACGTTCTCCGCTAGCTCAACAGCTTTTGCTAATGTTATACCCGAAATATCCTGCGTATATAACTTTTCTTTTTCCACTCCTGGCAGCATACCCATAATAAACCGGTCCCTCAGTGCCTCCTCCACATTGAAAAATTGGCAGTGAACGGTTAGGCCGCGCAGTCTAGCGGCCCACTGCGATGGTGACTCGGTGGGCTGTTGGGTAGCGGCATAAAAATTGTGGCGCTCGCTAAATCCAACCTGCTTCGGTGTGAAATGAGTATCCAAGATGGTTAGGATATCCTCAAACGGAATTTGCTGGAGATCATTTGGTACAGCGAGATCTGAGGCAAGCTTAAACGTACCATCGGCGAATGCGCTGAGCAGAATTGCTCGCCTTTTAACTCCTGCAGCATCATTTGACGCATTTATGTCGTTTGCAATAAACCATTGCATAATTCTGGTTTTAAATATCTTCCACGATTGCAATTCATGGTTAAAAATTGGTAAGGGACCACAGCTAAACGACATTTTTTTTTTTGTAAAACGCGGGTAAGAACTCGTCGCCAATGTTATGTTCGCGGATATGGAGCGCAGGGGACTAGTTAAACACTCAACGGCTGTCGATGTACTGCTTTAATTGCAAACATTATTATTGGGTGCGGACGCAGCCGCGCACAGGTATAATACACAACAGTATTTAACCTGTACCGGTCGTACTGTGCACGCAGTAATCTCATGCCCTAAATAGTTAGCGCCTTTCTTTAGGAATGAAAATTTACTTAAATTTAGTTTTAGATTAGCTTTTGACAATAGTTGTTAGACGCTTTCTAGTAACTTTAACCAATCATGAAGCGATAATATTGGCAACATTACGTCATCAAGATATTTTGCATCGAGTAAAATTGTAAAAAGCTGCTGGAGCATTACCCAGGCCAAAAAGCATTTTCAGAAATTCATACTGACCAGAAGGTGTAACAATTGCAGTCTTATGAATAGAACCATCAGAGATCCTTACTTGGTAATAGCCATGTGCAAGACTAGTGTGGTAGACAATGATTTTCCAGATAAATGAGTAACCTAGTCTTCTATATTATAAGGTAGTCGGTATCGATCCTTAACAGTACGCGAGATTAGTGATCTATAATATATGCATAACCTATAGTCACCTCCTTTTTTCTTAACAAAGACCACTGGGTTTGTGTAGTCAGGCATGGACTCCCTTACAATGCCTGCAGCAATTATGTCTTGAACCTTTTCATTAACAATTTCATTATCTTTGGTAGAAGGGCTTGCGGTAAACTGGTTGCTCGGTTGTAGTATGAATACACATTTATAACACGTCGGTACAAACTAAATCTTTTGTAATTCTGACGAACATGAATTCAAATTTATTTAATAATTCTAGTAATTCATTGTATTGATCTGTGTCCAAATCACCTACATCTAGATTTGATAATAATAACTTATTATGGAAAGGATGGTTAATTGTCATTACTTCCCTCTCCTTACTATACGCCATGTCACTAAAAAGTTTAGCGCGTGCTATGAGCCTATTTGAGTCTCACTCAATAATATCGTCTCCTATGTTTATAACTTTAAAGTGGCAATTTTTCTACCTTATAAGATCACCTATAATAATACAAGACATACTTCCTAACTCATAATATACAGGATTAGTTCGCAAAGTACAATCACTATCACTTATATCAATAAAACTTTTACAAATGCCACACATTGTTGCGGTATTACAGTACAGTCTTTAAGTATATTGGTAATTTAGTAATGATATCTATCTTACTTAAACTGTATATACATAGTTCACATTTCTGCTCAATGTTTTTTACAAAATTGACAGAGTTCTCAGTAATAACTGAGCACAAATTTCTCCGATTTATCATTGTTTGACCGATAATTAAGTCTATATTATCAGCTAAGTCAATATTAGTTAACAACGTAACCACTTATAATAATGTCATCTATCTTGACATCGATCCGCAATGTTCCCAATGATTTCAAATATGCAGCTACAAAACCTTTCATATTTATTGAAGAAAGCACAACTTCTAACATCAAACTACTAGCTGGTGTCACACTATGAATATTCAATTTACTTCCTGTATCTATGTATGCAATAAGTTTTTGTCCATTAACCCTTAACACTTTTTAATACAGATCTATATAAATATTATATGTTGTAAACAAAATATTACTGACCTTCTGTGGCTGTTGTCGAGGATGGACATCGATGACATACCTCGCACGATCGGGCAAACGATTTATCTTATGGCTTACCATCTTATGACATACCGTATACTGCTGCTGATACCTCTGAAATTCACAGGAAAATAGCAGAAATCATATTATGTAGAATATATGTATATTTCTTAAATTGCCTTACTATAGAACAGATCATAATTTATTTTTTTTCAAATCTAAAAGATAGATAAAAGTATGAACCGCGCCCATAAAGTAAAGAAACTAATATGGCGGCTTATATTTATAATTTGGATGATCAGCAAAAACATTCCGTATTATATTTTATATTTTAATTTTTATTTTTTAAATTTATGTTTTCCAATTTGAATTAAGAATCAAAATGCAGATTTGTTGTCATGTCTGCGGAACGTGACGACTAAGGCCAACCAACGATCAAAAAGCCTCTTTTTCCAATGAAAAAGATCTCTGGTTTTCTAAACTTATAATACGAAAAACAGCAGAATTTAGCTGCTATTTTATGATGGTATTCTATGAGGGCGCGGTCTTTCAACAGAGCCGACCCATTTGTACTATAACAAATATAGCTGCAACATGACTTTGCCACGCACATGGACGTCAAATGTGGCTGGATTAATACCTTTATGGTACCAATAAGAGAAATGCTCAAAATGTAAAGTACAATAAATAACACTAGAGGTTTGGTGCTGTGATCATCATGCCGCTTACAAAGCGCAATAAAGCGAAATCTTGAAAAATTTATGTCCTGATGTGACCTACATATTTAAAAGGCGATGACAATGGAGACAATCACTTGAAATATAAATTGTAAAAAAATAACAGCTTATATACACCATTGTGGCACCGGTTAGCCTTAGATATCCTCTCATTTATAAGAAAGCTTATAGCGCCTGACATTAGACAATAGCAGCAATACTCCCTAGCATTATGCAGTTACCTATTTTGAATAAGTCTTTCAAATTGATAATAAACAGGGACTAAAAAACTTATATAATTTATAAAATAATAATAAGATGTGTGCATAATAGTATCATACACATAGATATAGTAACTGTATAATAAATCTATGATCATGCATATGTAATCATTGCAAGTATTTATTCTTTACAAAAAATAATAAAAATATACCTTTTATCTTTCTGTTATGTTATTATTTAACAAAAAAAAGTCATAAAAATCGGTTCGTAATTAACGAAGAGTAAGAGAAGAATTACGTAACATACATACAAAAAATAAACGTACAGTCGCATTATAAGCCATCTATGTACCACATTATCCTATACATGTGAGCAATTCTAGTAAATATTCATAATATGATTAGTTTCTCCAAAACGGCTCTAACCAAATTGACTGAAATTTTATATTTAGGTACTGTTTTTCTTTCCAAGTTTATGTAAATTGGTCTCATCCTTGAGATATTTTATTCTAATATCAGGCATTATGCATGAAATGAACGCAGTCGTATTTATGTATAAAATGTACGTCATTTAAATTAAAGGGAAATCACTGGAATGTAGTGAACTAGTTCAGAATTCAAAGAATATCTTCCCCTTTCATTAAAATGTCTCTGCAGATTAAACCACGTTTGAATAGAAGCATTGTGAGTCAAATACAATACCAAACCAATTGAGTAAAATAATTGAAACTGTTAAACTAAACTATAATAATATTCTATTAAAAGACGGACGGACTTACCGCTTCGGGCTTCAATGCAAAAGGTTGGTGCTCCTTCGAGTAGACACTGGCCGTTTTACCATTCCCCCTAAAATGCCCCTCATTGCGTTTTATTTATATATATAGCATATTGCATAATAATATATAACAAAGTTTAATATACTTATATTATTTAATTGTATTCGACAGGATGGGGAAGGAATAGGTAGATTACGCCCTTATTAAATACTGTTAGTGAAAGTGAGAATAGATAAAGGAAACGTTTTTATACTTTTTATTTTTTATATAATAAAGGCGACTCAAACTTTTAACTTATCTACTGAACTTGTACTAGAGCTCTTAACTTATCTGTGCCAGTTCGCTCATACACAAAAAGGTGTAGTGAAGAAGAGCCGTAAATTTTAATAGAAAAAAGATGGAAATGGACTTCAGAAACGTGCTTTGTTATTTCCCGTTCGTTTTCGTAGTATTCCAAGAAGCTATTCAGATTGTAGTCGAAGGTTTAAGATGATAGATGTTTGAGAAAATAATTGGAGGATTAAGACTTACATTTTACATGGCTAAGAACTAAAGAGCGTGCGGTGCATTTATTTCAATTTAAGTGATGGATTAAGACGAAGCGACATTGACTGGAATAAAATAAGCTTTGCTCTTTTTCTACAATTTTTATCTTCCAAACAACGCAGCTGTGAAATGTATGATTTAATTTTCCGCAGTAAAATTTTAGTCACATTTAATATTAATAACATAATTTTAATGTTGTATTTAATAAAGGAAACGTTTTTATACTTTTTATTTTTTATATAATAAAGGCGACTCAAACTTTTAACTTATCTACTGAACTTGTACTAGAGCTCTTAACTTATCTGTGCCAGTTCGCTCATACACAAAAAGGTGTAGTGAAGAAGAGCCGTAAATTTTAATAGAAAAAAGATGGAAATGGACTTCAGAAACGTGCTTTGTTATTTCCCGTTCGTTTTCGTAGTATTCCAAGAAGCTATTCAGATTGTAGTCGAAGGTTTAAGATGATAGATGTTTGAGAAAATAATTGGAGGATTAAGACTTACATTTTACATGGCTAAGAACTAAAGAGCGTGCGGTGCATTTATTTCAATTTAAGTGATGGATTAAGACGAAGCGACATTGACTGGAATAAAATAAGCTTTGCTCTTTTTCTACAATTTTTATCTTCCAAACAACGCAGCTGTGAAATGTATGATTTAATTTTCCGCAGTAAAATTTTAGTCACATTTAATATTAATAACATAATTTTAATGTTGTATTTAATAATAAATGGCAAGGTACAGACTAGAAGGTTTTACTGATTATAGGGCATCCGCATTTAGATGCGTCATTGTGGAATATGTCTATAGGTTATATCATCTACTTAGCATTAGATGGCCTGTACGCTCGTTTGTCACTCCTAATGTTATTTAATAAAAGATTAACGTAACTTATGTTTTAGAGATACTTCATAAATACCGTCGTTTTCTCTCAAGAATGCGTCTAACCAGCGTGGTGAGTATAACTGTTTCAAAGCAATTACCACAAAACAATCACACCAGAGTAATTACTTGCATACGTATGTATGGAATGAGGGCTAATAATTTTCTGCTCGC